TCATGTAGCACCTAGGAGTCGATTCCCAGTGGTTAGCACATGAACAGCCGAAACCAGTCACTACCAGTGTTCAGATTCCTTTAATCTGAAATACAATTTTGTTACTCTACTTTTTAATGTTTTCCTATTAGGATGCTAAAACTATTCCTGTGTTAATGACATTATTTTTCAAGTGTCAGTGGTAGTAACCAACCACTCACTTTCTCTTAGACAGCAGAACTCTTTCCCTTTGAGATTAAAGTGTTAAGAATAAGATGCCACCCGTTTTCATTTAAAGCCTCCCCAAACTCTTTGCTCAAACGTGGTGCTTCAACAGAGGCAAACTGGTCAAATTCTGCACTAAACATAACAAACAACTTCTGAGTCTTGTCTAGACAAAGTCATTGTACCCTAGAACTTGCAGGACTCAGGGAAGAAAGCTGGCTTTTGTGCTGCAGACCGAGTAACTTGGATGCTTTTAAGAATGAGTATGTTGAAGTAGCCAGCTGTGACAAGCGAACGAAGGCAAAGCAGTCTCTGTAATGTCTGACACCCAGGCTCGGGGTCCTTACTTATCTGACTTCCCACATATTTATCTAGAAACTTGTCTATGTCCATGATGTTTTCCCAGAGCACTCATGTTCAGACACAGTATTTGCATTATGTGATCCATGTATCAGTGGCCTTCCATAGGAAATAACAGCCCAAAGCCGGGAGCTGTCACTTCAAAGCATACCACAGTGGTGAGATACAGCCCGGAAATGAACCATGTCAGCAGAATATCATTTCTTTAGAATCCTAAAACCCTTCTCTTTTTGCTGATAATTATCAGTGTTTGTTATAGACACATTCTGAGCATAATGGGATCGTTTAAGATTTTAAGGTCTTCCTCCTTCTCTTCCTCCTTCTCTTCCTCCCTTCCCTCCCCCCCCCCTCCCCGCTCCTCTTCCTTCCCTGCTCTGTTTTTGTCTAATCCCAAAATGATAGATTTGGTCTCTGCTTGCTTTTCTAGAAGCTGTTGGTAGGGTTTAGAAAAGGCTCATAAAAAAAGAGGGGACCGGCTCTGTTATTTCCATGTCTCTGGTTCTTTCTACCTCTCCTCTGTTTTTTGGTTGTTTTGAGTTTTGTGGGTTTTTTTTTTTTTGTTGTCAGTTATGGGACTTGAAATCAAGGCTTGGGCACTGTCCCTGAGCTTTTCTGCTGAAGCCTAGCATTCTTCCACTTGAGCCACAGCTCCACTCCCAGCTTTTTGTGGTTAATTAGACATACGAGTCTCAGAGACTGGTTTCAAACCGTGATCTTCAGGTCTCAGCTTTGGGATTACAGGCATGAGCTACCAGCACCCAGCTTCTTTCTACTACTCTTCTGTTTTTATAAAACAGATTTTATAAAGACAGATTCTGATCCTGACACTGGTGGCTCATGTGTATAATCCTAGCTACTCAAGAGGCTGAGATCTAAGGATTATTTTACAAGCCAGCTAGGTCAGGAAAGTCTGCGAGACTCCTATCTTCAATAAAGCTGGAAATGGCCCTGTGGCTTAAATGGGAGAGAGCTAGCCTTGAGAAAAAGAATGGAAACTTTGAGAAAGTTCAGCAGAGATGAGCATAAATGAACAAACTGATAGAAAAGAAGTAAAAGTATTAAGGTTGCAGTATGTAGACTATAACTTCTTAACACTCTAGATCACAAGAGTTACAATCCTCAAAAAATAATTCTGTGTCAAACTGTTCATAGACAATAAAACAACCGACAGGAATAACAATTAAGCTTAATTCTCATTTTGCAATCACCATCTAATCTTATTTTTATGAAAGAAGATTGTGAGTTCTTAGGTGATTGCTTTCTAGATCTGCTTTAAGTTCAATAATTCTCTCTCATTGCTTTTAATTCTGTTAAAGTGTGTTTATTAAAATACTAATGAGAGCAAAGCCATACTGATTAAATGTAGAATTATTCATTTAAACCTTTTGGTATTTTGAAAGTAGAGGTAGATTCTAACACTGGGAGATGTTGGTATCGAGGATTGAGCTTTGTGTGATTCTACCATTTAAACCATAACCTGAGTCCTTTTAAGTTTTAATTTGTTCTTCAAACAGGATCTCATGCTCTTATCCTCGGCCTCCAACTGTATCCCTCCATTTCTGCCATCCAAGTCAATGGGATTATGGATGTATGCCACCACTTGAAATAAGTAGCTTGCTATGTACCTAAAGTTTTTTTTACAGTAGCTATTTGAAATCTGCTGAATTTACAAAAAGTTTAATGAAACAACTTTTTAAAAAAGGCATAAATGCAATTTATCCCAAGAGTTCTAAGTAGGGTGTATTTTCCCTCGTGGTTTTATGGCATCTAATAAATAAATAAATGTACTGTTGGCCAGGAAATACCTTTTGAGATCTATTGTCAGCCTTTGAGAATTTTTAGGACTTGCTTCCTAATTCACTGTTGTTTGCATCCATACCTCTTTTTCCTTGCAAGTCGGGCTTGAATTTCACCTTTCATCTGCCCTTGTCTTAGCTGGCTGTGTGTGTCTATTCTCTTTTTTCTTGTTTTCCTTTTTCAGCTTAGGATTGTCCTACTTTTTAAAAAATAGGTCAGTAAATTTGAAGATGTTAGTCTGTTTCCCCCAGTCTTTTCTTCTGGAAGTAATCAGAGTGACTCGGTCACACACGTTTTGCTTGATCTCTTGAATGCAGACCCAGTTTTCCCCCTGGAAGAACCTAGTCTGTAGCAGCCCGACCTGCCCGGCTCCTGAGTCCCTGTCACGGCTGACTTCCGGCCTCTGTTACTGACTGAACTGTACCTTCACCCCTACTGCCTCTCACCAGCAGCCTCTTCCTGCTCTTTCCCATCCTTTCTGGGAGAGAAAGAAATCTTCCCCTCCCTTCCTTTCTTAAAACCCTTCCCTTCCAAACCCTGGTCCACAGGCTGTGATTCCTGAGCACAGAACTCCCTGTGAGAACTGGGTCCTTCCTGATGCCTGATGCCGCCCCCCCTCCTCCCCAGTGTCCTCCCCAGCGCCCTCCCCTGGCCGGCCCCCACCCTTCGGCAGGCTCTCCCACCTCCAGCCTGGGCTTAGGGAGCTGGAGTGGCAGGGTTTAGGTAAAGGGGTGAAGAGGAGGCCGGTGGGGGGGCGGGGGGGAAGGCCCAGCCCATTTGATGTCCTCGTGGGTTGGTGGTAGAACACAGGTGTGGCGCTAAGGGATAGTGCTGAGGGGCGGGCCAGCCTCGCCCTGTGGAGGGAAGCTGGCTCTGAACCCGCCCGGATCCCAACTCTGATGCC